GGATATGCATAGAGTCTTCGCACTATCGAAGAAAATTTTGAAACGACTCTCTTCACCAGGTACGTCTTAGATCCATTCTTTGACATGTAAATAAATTTTAAACACGAAAAGTTCTGCCTAGAATTGTTATTATCTTCCGCTGCGTGTTATGAACATCTATATGCAATCCTACATGAGCACCAAATAGAAAATGGAGTTTTTTCGTGCACTATAATAAATAGAAAGTCTTCTAAAAGGATAAACACTTTCTGACATGAATAATAAATGGATAGTCACAAGTCTTAAATCAATGAGCTCAGTTTAATGTTATATGGGACAAAAGAAAAGGCGCAGAATTGGATCTAAAGAATTTGGTTAATAGACTGTAATTCAAAGTAATTTTTTTGTTAGGTTTGAATTTATAAAATCTGTACAATTTATTCAGTTGTCAGTTTGTTAACATATTATGAATTTGTTAATATGCACACAACTTATTCATGGGAATTTTTTCGTGCACTATCCAGTTAAATACAACTACGATAATATACAACTTAAACACACATTTTGATACAAAATTTATACAACATGTATTTTGTATATTTTGTATTTGATTTATACATAGTAAAAATAAATTTCAAACAACTAATTATATATTATACAACTTATCTACAACTTTCAAACATTATTTTTACCCAGTTAAATACAACTGCAATAACATACAACTTAAATACATATTTTATTTAAAATTTATACAATATGTCTTTTGTATATTTAGTATCTGAAATAAATTTCATACAACTAATTATATATTACATAACTTATCTACAACTTATCTACAATTTTCATATATTATTTCTACTCAGATATATATAATTTAAATATAATTTGTATACAATATTGTTCGACTTTCATATGTATATATATATAATTTCGTAAACATAATGTATGTCATATCTTATATTATTTCTACTCAGATATATATAACTTAAATATAATTTGTATACAATATTGTTCGACTTTCATGCAATAGTTATATATATATAATTTCGTAAACATAATGTATGTCATGTCTTCTTCTCTGAGTTTCAATCTGAAATTCAGCAAAAATCAAGTCTAATCTTCACCAAAACACCCTCAAAATTGAGATATAAACTCCAAATCATATTCATAATTGCTTGTAACAACACCTAATCCAAAAAAATAATGATTTTTGAAAACCCAAATTCGAATTCAAAGCTTCAAAACTTTTTAATGGATGTTAATGGTGAAATTGTTGCTATCTTTTCTTTTGCTTTACATTACTGAAATTAGGGAATGAGAGACAGAGAGACGTAGAAAAAAATTCCCAATTCTTTGCAACAACACCCAATTCAAACAAATAATATTTTTTGAAAAACTCAAATTCGAATTCAAAGCTTCAAAGCTTTTCATTGGTTGTCAAAGGTGGAATTGTTGCTCTCTTTCCTTTGCTCTACTTTACTGCAATTAGGGATTGAGAGATAGAGAGACATATATATATATATATAGAGAGAGAGAGAGAGAGAGAGACGTAGAGAGAGAAAGAGCGCAGGAGAGAGAGAGAGAGAACGAGGGAGAGAGAATAAGGATGAAAAATAATTGATTCCTAATATAAAGTGGTACTCATTTAATTCCTAAAGTATATATAATTGATAAATTTATATATAGAAAATAACAATAAAGTTTCCAATAGTGTATAGGTATGTAAAAATATCTTATTTATGTTCTTTATAGATGTGCATTGCACTAAAGCCACAGCCCACATGAACAACTCAAAAGACCAACCCTTTATAATAATTGTAAAAAGTAGATTATTAATCAAGGAATCAGTCCACCGAAAATACATGTGAAGAATAAACAGTGCATTACTCGTAGCAATTACTATATACTCTCGTACTCTCATCTAAAAAAGCAACAATAGGTAATAAGAGAGGGGCCTTCAAATCATTTCTTTCCTAGCATTGAAATGTTTCCCATTGGTTTGAGGGTTGTCATCCATATGGATGATATGAGATCGAATTCCCCTCCAATGCTTTCTCGGTTGAGTTTCTCGTATAGTGCTTGCCTAGTGCAATTTACATCTCTATATGATTTGCAGGCTATTATACAGGGAAGATGCTTTTTGCCCAATAGCTACATAAACACATATTACATTTTGACCTTGTTGATTGAGAATCGTATTAGTTGCTCAAGCAGTACGCCTCCTTTTTCTCGTTCTTCGAACACATTTCATCCTTGGTGGGAGGGTATGATAAAGGATATGAAGAAAGGTATCTGCTTAGATGAGGTTTTAGCCCATTATCAGGGGTCGTACAATAATTTTAGTAATAAAAGTCTGGCTTTTGCATTTCGTTTTCTACCCGATCAATCTAAGTTTCTACTAAAAGAGTTAGAGTACTCAGTGCGCACAAAGTGCTCACCACATAATGCTCACCCGAAGTAAGAAATTGTGAGCAACTCAGTCCACACCCTTTAAACTACACACACAGTGAATACCAGTAGGATATTTAAATGGAAATTCTTGAAGGGGAAGTTCTATTGATTCTCTTGTGGAAGGGTTCCACAGCAAAAGGTGTTTATCGAATCCATCAACAATTGCCAGAAGAACCACCCCATCACAGCAACAGTGAATTAAGGAACTCTTTTGTTTGTAGTGTGAAGGCCAATGAAGTTTTTGTTCATCCTCAACAGGTTGATGTGACGATAAAGAAGAACAATAGAAGCTACACATATCATCCTTACTAATGCACTTTCGGCTAATAAGAAGTTTTTGAGAATTTCTGTCATTCTTGGCATGATTGAGATGCTTCTTCTTAAAGTAAGGATCAGAAATTAATGCCTTCTACAATTTCGAAACACATTTGAATTGATGAACCTGCATAGGCGACCTAAGATCAAGTGGGGTAACTATGAGGGCCTCGATGAGTAGGGGGGACGCGTCTAGTATGTGGTTGACGACTACAGATTGCATTAGGGTAGCTGCTAAAGAGGTCTTAGGGGTCACGAAGGGCTCTTCTAGAGGTCATAAAGGGGACTGATGGTGGAATGGAGAGGTTCAAGGTAAAGTGGAATTTAAGAAAGCTGCTTATTTGAAGCTAGTGGAGAGTACAAACGAGGAGGATAAAAAGACTTACTGGGAGTGTTACAAAAAGGTAAAGAAAGAGGCGAAGTTAGCAGTTGCGACGACTAAAAATGCGGCGTTTGCTCATCTGTACGATGAACTCGGGGGCAAAGGCGGGGACAAGAAGTTGTACTGGTTGGCCAAGACGAGGGAGAGAAAAGCCCGCGATTTAGACCAAGTCAAGTGCATCAAGGATGCGGATGGCAAAGTGTTGATGGACGAAGTACTTATTAGGAGAAGATGACAGACATACTTACATAAACTGTTAAACGAGGAGGGAGGTAGACGCATTGTGCTGGGTGAGTTGGAGCACTCCGAGAGTCGGCGGGATTTTGGGTACTGTAGGCGGATTATGGTATAGGAGGTGGAAGGGGCGATGCGTAAGATGTGTAGGGGCAGAGCGACGAGGCCAGGCGAAATCCCGGTGGAATTCTGGAAGAGCACGGGGCGGGCAGGTTTGGAGTGGCTCACTGGGCTGTTTAATGCTATTTTTAAGACGAAGAAGATGCCCGAAGAATGGAAGTGAAGTACGATGGTTCCGCTTTACAAGAACAAGGGTGATATCCAAGATTGCAACAATTATAAGGGTATCAAGTTGTTGAGTCACACTATGAAAGTTTGGGAGAGGGTGGTGGAGGTTAGGGTGAGGAGGTGCGTGTATGGATTCATGCTGGTGTATTCGACTAAGGAAGCGATTCATCTGGTAAGGATATTAATGGAGCGGTACAGGGAAAGGAAAAAGGATTTGCATATGATGTTTATTGACCTTGAGAAAGCATACGATAAAGTCCCGAGGGAGGTCTTGTGGAGGTGTTTGGAGGTTAGTGGCATTCCGGTAGCGTACATTAGAGTGATTAAGGATATATATAATGATGCTAAGACTTGGGTGAGGATTGTGGGTGGTGACTCGGAGTATTTCCCTGTGGAGATGGGATTGCACCAGGGATCGATTCTTAGCCCATTTTTATTTGCCTTGGCAATGGATGTACTGTCGCAACACATCCAGGGGGAGGTGCCTTGGTGCATATTATTTGCCAATAATATAGTGTTGATTGACGGGACGCGAAGCGGAGTTAACGCGAGGTTGGAAGTTTGGAGACAGACCTTGGAGTCTAAAGGTTTCAAACTGAGTGGAACCAAGAAAAAATACTTGGAGTGCAAATTCAGTGACGGGGCCTATGATTTTGACGTAGAGGTTAAGCTTGATGCTCAAGTTATCCCCAAGAGAGCAAGTTTTAAGTATCTCGGGTTTATTATCCAAGGTAACAGGGAGATTGACGAAGATATCACACATCACATCAGAGCGGGATAGATGAAGTGGAGGCTCACCTCTGGTGTTTTATGTGATAAGAATGTGTCGCCAAGACTTAAGGGTAAGATTTATCGAGTGGTGGTTTGACCGGCTATACTATAGGGGGCTGAGTGTTGGCCAGTCAAGAACTCTCACGTGCAGAAAATGAAAGTAGCAAAGATGAAAATATTGAGATGGATGTGCAGGTGTACCAGGAGAAATAGGATTAAGAATGAAGCTATCCGGGATAGAGTGGGAGTGGCATCCATGGAAGACAAGATGCGGGAGTCGAGGCTGAAATGGTTCGGACATGTTAAGAGAAGAAGCATTGATGCTCCTGTCAGGAGGTCTGAGAGGTTGGCCATGGAGATATTTAGAAGAGGTCGAGGTATGCATAAGAAGTACTGGGGAGAGGTGATTTGGTTCTGAGGCAATTTCAAAATCCTGAAGGGTTATTTTGGGGTTTTTTAATTTGAAAATTTTCAGCGAATACTAGGAAGTTTCTATAACTGGGACAACTGTCACAATCTGAGTAGGAAAGGATAAGGATTAGGGGGTCTCAAATATTCAGAAATTGGACAATTGTCCATTTTTTGTGGTAAGAAGGTACAGAAATTGGACAGCTGTCCATTTTTATGTTTGGGAAAGATGTCGTTTCCTAATTTTTAGAGAATGCTGACAGATTCCCTTTGTACCTTGATACTTAACCCTTTTTGCACCCTTACTCTATATATGCACACACTTTCTACCATTACATATACACATAGACACACCAAAATTTCCCTAAAAACACAGAGTCTCCAATGTCTTTTCCCTTGATTTTCAAATAACTTTTTCTAGAAAACTAGCTTTGATATTTCAGAAACACCAAAAAAAAATATTACTTTCCCTTTTTTCCAAATCATAATGTTTCCTTACTCTACTGAGTTTCAAGTTTGAAATTGGGAGCTCTTTTGATTCTCCATTTAAGTGTTCTTGCTGCTGCTTTTTTGCTCGAATTGTCAGAGATTTGTTTTCTCTCTTTATTTTGGTTTCTTGCTGCTATCAAGGTACTACTTTTAACAATATAAAAATTCTGCTTCATTTTTTATTTTAGTATCATAATTATGATTTTTTGGTTTTGTCAAAAATTGTGTTTTGTTTGAATGTAGTCTTGGGTATGAGTTAAATTATTGCATGAATCATATTGATTGAAATTAGTCTAGTTGAACATTATATGCAAATCTGTGTAAAGCTGGTCGTTATACTATTCAAGTTGTGTCGTTTTCATGTTTAAAAGCTTTCTTAAAGGTTGTTTAGCATCTATTCGAATTTCATATATTTGTTTATATTAAAGGGTCATACCCTGAAAACTTATGTATTTAGTTGCAATAATAGGAGTAAAACAGTAGTTAGAAAAAGAATTGTAAGATTTATTATCTTTATAGACAAGGAATGAAACTCAGTTGGTTAGCTAATAAGTTGTAATAATTTAGTTACTATCTCTTTTCGTATAACATGTTAGTTAATATATTAGTTAATTTGGCTGTGTTGTTTAAGGAAATTAATTCTGGTTTTTGTTAATTTTTTTTTAGAATTTTCATATTTGGGTTTCTGAAACAAATTGGACGATAGGATGGTATATTTTCAGGCCCAAATCAATTGGGTCATATGGAATTATACCTTTAGCTCTGGTAAGTGAACTAAGCTGATAATCAATTAAATTACTATTTTGAAGCTTCTTTATACATAAATGGTTAAATATACTGCTTTTAATACCATTATAATATAAAAAACAAAAATGCTTTGAAAGTAAAATCGAGCCTGATTTCGAATAAGTAACTTGTTCTGTTTATTTTCTATATCTCTTAGCATGTATTTTCAAACACAATGAAATATAAGTAAAATTCTATGATTGGTATTACAGAAATAAACCATGAAATTTCAGTCTCAAATTCGTTCAAATAAAAAAAAGCATTGTGCCAGAGTCATTTGGGCTCAGCCATCTTCAGGCCCAAATCCTCTTTGAATTGAATTCATTTAGCTGGCTAAATGATTGGTAATATGCATTGGGCCAGTGGCATTTAAACTCACCCATTATCAGACCCAAAGCCTCTTAATTATAGATTCATTGGGCAACTAATGGGTAAGCTGCCCCATTAATTCAAATGAATGTCTCATGTAGCAGTAGGTCTTTATGTCTAGTCAGAAGACCTAGGACATTTAGCTTATAACATGATTTAAACCTTAGGTATACTTATAATCGAACTAATTATTACAATTATGTATACGTACGCATGACATAGTTGTGATGCCAAAAACAAACCAAGATACACGTTCGCATGACCACGGTCAAATATTCTTAGTAAAGTAAACCTTAATCAAATACTCGTAAGAAATGTTTTTATGCGCGGTTTTTAAACTACTATCGTGATTGCGTACACGTTCGCGTGACGTGATTACGATTTTTTCAAATAAATTCAAGGTATGCGTTCACGTGACTTTGACTAACCTTTTCTTAAATAAACTGAGTGTTGTGAATTGTGTACACGCACGCGTGACATGATTCTTGACACGCCAAACTAAACGGGTATACGTACGCATAATTTGTATTAAGATAATTCTTTAAATGCAAGTAGTCGAGTAATTAAGAGCGGTAAGAGGTAAAAATGTACTTAGGTTCTAAATTGAGTAATCAAAATAAGCCAAGTATAAATTGTTAAAGCGATCGTGCTAAAACCACGAAACTCGGAAATGCCTAACATCTTCTCTCGGGTTAATAAAATTTTTTACCCGATCTTTTGTGTTCGCATGCTGTTAAACAGAGTCAAACTTCCTCGATTAGGATTTTAAAATAAATGGTGACTCGGAACACCGTAAATAAATAATTTCAAGTGGCGATTCTTAAATATAAAAATAATCCCAAATCGAATAATGTCACTTAAATTGAAAAAACTCACATATACCCCTCTCGGAAAAAAGGAGGTGTAACAAAACTACGAATTTAGCAACAAAACATATGAAGTTCTCAAGAACATTTTAAATTCCATATTTTCTCAACCGGACGTCCGAATCACGTCAAATCAGTTCTGTTTCTCATCAAATTTCACAGATAGGGTATAAATATCATAATAGACCTATATCGGGCTCCGAACCAAAATACGGACCTAATACCAACAAGATCAAACGTTAATCAATTTCTTAAAACCATTAAAATTTCAGTCTTTCAATTTTTAACAAAAATTCATATGTCGAGCTAGGCACCTCAGAATTCGATTCCGAGTCTACGCCCAGGTGCCATATTTTACTACGGACCCATCGGGACCGCCAAAACACGGGTTCGGGTCCGTTTACGCAAAATATTGACCGAAGTCAACTAAAATCAACTTTTAAGGCCAAAAATTATTATTTCATCAATTTTCATCATAGAATCTTTCCGGAAATCACGCCTGGACTGTGCACGTAAATCGAATAGAGTAAAAATGAGATTTTTAAGGTTAAAGAGTGCAGAATTGAGTTTTAAAATATAAGATGACCCTTTAGTTCATCGCAATCTCCACCTCTAAAATAACCGTTCGCCCTTGAACGAACATAGAAAAGTACTTGAAATGGTGAATAAGTGGGGATATCTACTCAGCATGTCCGATTCGGACTCCCAAGTAGCTGCCTTAACATGCTGACCTCTCCACTGCACTCGAACCGAAGGATAACTCTTCGATCTCAACTGACAAACCCGCCGGTCTAAAATGGCTATCGTCTCCTTCTCATAAGTCAAATCCTTGTCCAACTGGACATATCTGAAATCTAACACGTGGGATGGGTCACCATGATATCTTCGGAGTATGTACACATGGAATACCAGATGAACTGTTGATAACGCTGGAGGCAACGCAAGCCTATAAGCCACCTCTCCCACTCTATCGAGAATATCAAAAGGCCCGATATACCTAGGGCTCAACTTGCCCTTCTTTCCAAATCTCATGACACCCTTCATGGATGACACCCGAAGCAACACCCTCTCCCCGACCATGAATGCCACATCACGGATTCTACGGTCAGTGTCGCGCCCCCTTTTTTCCTCCTCTCCTTTCGGATCGGTTAAGGGTTTTTGATATTATTGGGAAACTCGTTTCCTTTTGGGATAGGGATATAAGGAATTGAAGAGTCGTCACCTAAAAAATTAAGGTGCATTAGGGCACCTACTAAGGGTTATTACAACACTAATTGGTTAACCAGAGATAGAGTACGGGCTTGAAATTACTCCAAGGGGAAGTTGTTAGGCACCCCTCAAAGTCCACAACAGTGGTTCCCGACCAAACAAACTTTGTGAATTTAAACAAGTAGCACCCAAGTAATAAACAAATAAAGGAGTTTTGAAAAGATTTGCAGTCTAAGCACACATGTGAAGTAAAGTTTTTTTTTCAAAAAAAGGATTTAAAGTCTAAAACACATATGAGGTTTGTAAGATTTACAGTCTAAGCACACATATAGGGATAGGGGAATCCTAGATTGTTTATCCTATAGGATCACCTTGATACAATACTCGGTAATCACTCCTCAATGAGGGGATACACGTGGCATTAACGTAACGGCCATCATATCTATATCTACCCTTTACCCCACCCCTTAGCGGTTATCAAGAAAGTTTTGTTAACGATCTCTATGCGTGCTGTTACCCGTCCCTTCTTACTGGTCCTGGAGGAATTTAGAACCTCTACCAATAGGCAGTTCTAGGCAGACCCCTAAGGTTAAAAGGAGAAAATACTAGGCGACAGGCAAGAACAAGTAAGACTTTAACAAATAAGACAGAAAGAAGTAATTAGAGGCTCAGTTTTACCTCCACAAATAGCGCACATAAACAGCACGACTCAAACACAAACAAGGGGGGTACTATTAAAAAGGAAACCTAAACAGGATATCTAAATGGATGTCAATGCACAAAAGTATACAACTTTATTTTTTACAAACTCAGGAATAGGGCCCTAATCAGTTTGCCTGCTGATTTTTTTTTTTAAAAACCTGCTAACCATTAAGCAGTAATAACAAAAGAAACAGCTTCCAATTTAAAAGCTGTTTACCTAAGGCTTGCCTAGGCGTAGGATAATGCATAGTAGATACTAGAGTTGTTAAAACTGCTTAGAAGTTGTTTTACCTAAAGCATGCTTGTTCTAGGTGTTTGCAAAATACACAGGGATTATTATCAATTTATTTAAGACAGGATAATTAAACGTGAAACCATTTTTTATGTCCTTTTACATGCATCAGTAGTTTAGCTAGGTGTGACTGGGCGAGTACAAATGAGATCCTAGAACAGGGTATCTATTATGCATGTAAAAATGTAGAATGATTTATATGCAAATTCCTAAAGCAAGATTTCTAAATGCACAATATGGTTACAACATTGTTAAACATGATAGGAGTAACAACCTTTATGTTAATGCTGTTTATTATCTTAGAGGCAGGATTTCTAAGTGATAATATCAAATGAGATGTTGGACAATATACATGAAACCTAAGAACCTGATATCTAATGCATGACATGCTTTAAATACATTGGTCCTAAACATGGATTCTAATGTACATATAAGAAATATAAACCTAAGGCATGATTTCTACCTATTGACATTGATAACATGTATAACTACCCTCCCCTTTTCACTAGCTAGCCCCAATATTCGTTTACATCAATTATTACAAACCAATGTTAAAATAACTACATAAATAGATAAATAAAAATAAGAAGTTACACTATAGGGAGCCTGAAAACAGGCCCAGATCGCCAAGACCTCAAATGCCCAAATTGTTTCATAGCCTTTCTCATATCTGGGTGTGTCAAAGTTCCCTAAGGACCTCAAAGGATCCTGGGCAGTGCTCACACCCAGATTTCACAAACATAATTGAGTAAGCGTAGTGTGGAAGAGTCAGCTCTAATGCATCAAAGTTCAGAGGGATCTCATAGGGATCCCTAAGCAATCACACATTAGAGGGGCAGAATTTAAGGACCTAAGAATAGAGTGAGAGTGCTTGACATAGTTTTGAAAAGGGTTTGAGTAAGAAAACAGTTTGAAAAGGGATTTAATTGAGATAGTATAAAATGGTTTAGTGGTAAAAAATAGTTTGAACAAGAGTTGTGTAATCAAACAAACAACAGATCAAACACAGGGCCAAATAGGTTCAGCAACACTCAATTAACACCCTTTCACACAGGGTTGATTGGGGACCGGGGACACATAATACATATAATAAACAGAAGCCTCTTTGTAATTAAGGAGTAGTTAATAGAGCAAACAGTGGGACATAAATTCAGGAGTGCTAATTAGAACATAGTTATAGAATCAGAAGTGTTT